GTTCTACACTCTTTGCTTTCCCCGGAGCGTGCCATCTACAACAGTAACATCTGCAGCTGCGGATGAGTTGCCTATTGGCAGCTGCTGAGTTCAGATGCCAGATTCATTAGTTATTTTTTCCAGCCAGGAACATCTGGGTTTCCTCTGACTGGTACCTGGGGCCACTACTGTCTACTGTGGTGGTCTTTGAAGGAAATACTAGCTTGGAGGGTCTTTGGCTACCAAAAAATATATATGCAGAAATGGACTGTCTCTTTCTTCTACCTGCATCTTCTCCTCACGAGAGAGGGGACAACCTACTGGCATTTCCCCGAAAGTCATATAGAGAAAAAACAACAACATTTTGCTATATAACTTCTGGTCCTTTCCCGGCCTCTGAATTCTTGGGAGCAAATTATTATTTCCAGAAGAAAATCTTGCTTGAATTTTTACTTTTAAAAATGTCCTTCCTTCTTTCTCTAGTTATTTGATTTATATCCCACAGAAAGGTTGCTTTGAAAAAATGATCACGTAGTACAAAAATTTGATTTTGAGGAAAAAAACAACACTTGCAAAGAATAATACAAAATAACTGCAAATGCCTGTTAAATGAAAAACAAAATCAAGCCTTCTGCAAGATAGGTTTGTCCCTGTCAAACCTTTAAAGAGAGTCCCGCCCAAATCTCATTTATCTTCTTCATCCACTGGTTTTCATGAACTAGTCTGCTAAATTCGGGACCAATGTTAAGGAAGTGTAATGGTATCAGCCATGCTAATTTTCTGATATATTTACTATTGTTGGATGGTGCAAGATAGTTGATTAATTTTTGTAGAATGGAGAAGCATGGAATATGAGTATTGAAAAATTACTAGCATGGAAATTAGAGAAAAATTTGGAGGCATTTCTCCTTTAAGACAGGGAGATATAAAGTGGTACAAATACATTACGTGATCTTGATTCTACCCCTCCATAGAATCTATTCTCTAAATAGAGCCCTGAATTTTATTCCCTTACTAGAACCCTGAATCCTTAGCTATCAAAACAAGAACAAACAAGTAGTGATAATCACATTGTAGAATCTCTTGCATATGCAGTGAGCTTGGATTCTACCAACATTATTTTATACAAGTAGTCCTCAACTTATGACTACAATTGGGACTGCAGCATCCATTGATAATAAAAAGGTTGTTAAGTGAGCCGTGCCTGATTTTGCAACCTTTTTGCCATGATTGTTAAGCAAATCTGATTTCTCCTTTTGACTTTGCTTTTCAGAAGCTCTCTGGGAAATGGTAATCGTATGACCTACCCCCTCCCAAGATGCCACAACCATTTTGAATGCATGCTGGTTGCCAAGTGCCCAAATTTTGATCATGTGACCTTGCAATGGTTATAAGCATGAGGACCTGTCAAAATTCATTGTGTGCCATTGTAAATTTCATTTAATGATATTCAGTCATTAAATAAATGGTTGTAAGTGGAAGACTACCTATAGGTACTAGGAAAAACCCTTCCCTTCCATCACTGCTACTTGCTCATCAAATTTGGAGGTGACACTAAACCGGCAGGAATAGCCAAGATCATAGAAGATAGGCTCAAGATCCAGATGGATCTCAACATACTTGAACACTGGGCCTTATCTTAAAAGAAATGATATTCAATGTAGAGAAAAGTAAGGTTTTACACTTAGGCAAGAAAACCACATGTACAGGTACAGATGAGGTGAAACCTGGCTCAATAGAAAGGATCTTAGAGTGGATAATCACTTAAATATGAACCAGCAGTGTGCAGCAGCAGCTAAAAAAGCCAATGCAGTCCTAGGTTGCTTTAACAGAGGGATAAAATCAAGATCATGTGAAGTATTAGTACCGCGTTATACAGTATCACCCTCTCTTAAAGGAGAACCTGTTACTGAAATGCAAAGATGATCCCTGATAATACTGTACATCAATTACAGGTAAGAAAAGGGTGAAGGGGAGTGAGGAGAAAACTACAACAGTTACTTTAAATTTGACTGTGAGTCTAAAAGGCTGCTTTGGGCTGTGGATTTGGACTAAGGCCTGCATATTTTTATATCCATGCCTACTAAAACTTCTCATGTTAAAAAGCTCCAAATCAGTTTGCAATAGTTATAAAATAGCATTGCACTTTTTATTGACTTTGTTATCTAGTAATTTTTTAAAAAATAAAATGTGTTTTTAAAAAATCAAATATTAGTAGATGTTAACAGATGTTCAATAATAAAATTAAGTGTTTGTGAAAGATACCTAAAATAATCCAGAGACGAAGACACCATTGGCGGGAGGAGAGGCCATTTCACAGGTCTGGTGCTGTCCCAGATAAAACCCTCCTGGTTTTATCTGAGACAGGTAAGCTACATCCTAATGGAGACAGGTAAGATATGCCACAATCCTATGGGCCATGTCACAATCATACTGAACCTTTGACTTGTGCTCCTGTGTCCTTTAAGTCAGGGGTCTGCAACCTTGGCAACTTTAAGACTTGTGGACTTTAAGACTTTAGGAGCAAAGCTGGCTAGGAATTATGGGACTTGAAGTCCACAAGTCTTAAATTTGCCAAGATTGGAGACTCCTGTTTTAAGTGGCACTTTCATGGGGGAAGCTGTCCTTATTATTGTTTTGTCTGTGTTTTTAAATAGGCTGTACACCGCCCTGAGTCCTTCGGGAGAAGGGCGGTATAGAAATAAAATAATAATAATAATAATAATTATTATTATTATTATTATTATTATTATTATTATTATTATTATTATTATGTCCTGGCATTGCCACTATCTTCCCAGCTATGGTGAGATAATTTTCATGAATAATAAATATATAATATATAAAGTGTAAGACTGCGTGTGTGTTGGTGTGTGCGTGTCTGTGTGTCTGTGCATTTGCATGCACGCATGCACGCATGATTTATATTTTTATTTTACTGGAAGTACACTTTTTAAATTTTGGGGAAATGAGTAAACAAGCCACCTATTCTTAGTCAGATTTTAAGCAGGCATTTTTAGAGTTGTTCAGATGGCCAACAGATGCAGATTTTAAAAATGTGTTTGCTTTAAAAATTGAAACTAACTCCCTGCCTCTCTCTTATTCTCACAGACAAATACTGAGCTAATAGACATACGCTGTTTAAAGAGACTTAAATCAACCTCATATTTAATATTGTAGATATGATTATGAATTATATAAATTAATTTATATAATTATATAAATTAATATTGTACATCTTTGTGGAGATATTAAAATTAAGGCAATAAAATAGGACTAAACTTGCAGACTATATGCTTTGTATATCTAGTTCTCTCTCAGTATGGGTGTCAAATGTAAAATATGCCTTTTTTTCTAATCCTCATTCCGTATGAGCACCAGATAAACTTCCATTGCATGAAGTTTCTAGGAGTATAACTGATTCTTCATTTCATAAACCACTTTCTTCTATCATATACTGAAACCCTGAATTTTCCACCCTAACACTGCTTGCTTCTGATCAAAGTCAGGAGAGCAGGTGGCATTATGATGAAAGTCAGAGGTCACATCATACTTGTGTGCTGAGCTATTTCCCATTTCTTAGCCTTAGATAGAAAAGGAAACCAAATTCACATCACGTGTACTCAATCATGTCAGCCTTGGTTTCTATATCAACACTGATCACTATCATAATCTCTGAGCTACAAAGAGTATTAAGGTATTTATACAATGAAGTAAGTATGCACAAACATAGATACTTATACCGGGGTGGGTTCTACTTACCTTTACTACCGATTCGCAACGGGGCCGCGCGCGTGCTTGTTTTGCTCGTGCATGCGCTCTTCTACGTAAGCGCAGAAGCTTCTGCACATGCGCAGAAGCGTTTTCATGACATCAGGGTCAGTGGGCGGGACCTCCCGCCAGTTTTACTAGCGGTTCTAGAGAACCGGTGCGAACCGGGAGCAACCCACCACTGACTTATACACACACAAAACTGTCACATGCATCTTTCCCCCTTTCTTGTGGCAGATCCGCTTTCACCCATATTTAGATCTTCTCTTTCCACCAAGTTTAGATTAACTGCTCCATGAAACTGAGGGAGGCCTATTTCCCAATGTGATCTTAATCTGATTTAATAATTAAATTAATTGATCTGATTTTAAGAAGAGACTGGACAGTTACTTGTCTGAAATGATATAGGGCTTGCTGCTTCAGGGGTTTGGACTAGAAGACCTCAAAGGTCTCTTCCAGCTCTATTCTGATTGATTGATTGATCTCAGCCTCTCATTCTCTGCTTTCTGCTTGTTTCTATATTTATGGCTTTCTTAGACTCTCAAAGAAATGGTTCTAATATATTTATCTGGACTAGTTTAAATGAAAAATTGTTTAATAGATGCTCAGACATCTATTGCAAACTCCATGCAGTGATACCAACATGACGGTGTAAACTTTGCAATATCAACACACAAATGATGCAATTAGGTAATTGAGTCCTGGGAAAGGAGAACAAGTGAGAAAGAAGCACAAAATAAGCCTGATATGAATCTGTTTGCTATGGGGAATAGGTTGGCAGACAGAAACTGGGGCAGACTTTCAACATTTTGCCCTATCACAATAAGGTAGCATTCCTTGCTGTTTCCTAACCTAATATTAGAGTAGTTTACAGCTCCTACACCAAACCCCGTAACTAAACCCCTTTCTGAAATTCCAGATGTTCAGCAGCACTAACCAGAGTCTGCACAAATGTGGATGTCTCTAGATGGCAGCCAAATATCTAGAGCCTTGGTAGTACAGTGGTCTAAAGCACCCTGTTATTAAGACCAGCTGCCTGCAATTACTGCAGGTTCGAATCTCACCAGGCTCAAGGTTGACTCAGCCTTCCATCCTTTCTAAGGTAGGTTAAATGAGGACCCAGTTTGTGGGGGCAATAAGCTGACTTTGTATAAATATACAAAAAGGATGAAGGCTATTGCTTAGCACATTGTAAGCCGCCCTGAGTCTCTGGAGAAGGGCGGCATATAAATCAAATTAAAAAAAAATATGCAGAAGAACTTCTGTCTAGAAGGAAAAGCCCACAGAAACATGGTAGCAGTCTTCTAATACTTGAAGGGCTGACACAGCGGTGTGGATTCTCTGTTGGATGCTTATCCTACGGTTGGGTAGGTAATATATAGAAAACTATGTTCTGTAACTTTAACTGCTACAAGATGATTAATTGGCTGTGCTAAGCAGACATAAAAGAAGGCAGGTAGTTCATTCACTTCTGCTCCTGCTATTAGAAGGTTGAACTGCTGAAAGGAACTGTGTCTGTGTTACTGAAGAGAACTGGAATTGTAAGCAAACTATGTGTTGAACCATGATTATTTGAAGAAGTGTTATCTTTGTTTTAAGAAGCCAAGTTTGTTTTTTTACTACAAGTAAAGACTGTTTATTTTTCTTTAAACGTTCAGAGTCTGTGAGTATCTGTGTGTTTTGCTAAGCAACGTATCTATTCGCTGTCTGGTCCGTTGCAGAGGACAGTTTTACCCTCAACATTCTCCAACGAATTCAAGGTTAGGACAAGAATGAGAAATTTGACAGATAGAATCCAAACTCAAATTAAGGAGGAATGTCCTGATTGTGCTCCATCACTGGAGGTTTCCAAGCAAAGGCTGGGTAGCTGTTTGTCTGGGTGATCTGAGAATTTCTCCTCTAGATCAAGGCTTCAACTGAAGGATCTCCAACATCTCCTCTAGTCCTATTTTTCTATGAGAAACTTCTTTGCTCTGCTCAAGGTCATCTTTCCTCCTCTTAAAGGTCACCTCTCTCATTATCTACAGATGCCTACCTGTAAGCAGGGTGAGATATGTTCCCAATTCAACTCCACTAAGGATCTCCCTAACCCAACATTGCAACCATTTGATAGGAAGCAAACATATTTATAAGTTCTCTCAATGCTTACCTTTGCCGTTTAAATTTATTTCTCCTGTCAGATCCCACAGCATCTGGGGGGAAATGTTTAAAGTATAGGCTTTAACTGGAAATAGACCATTAAAACACAGCTTTGTCCTTGGGTGGAAAATGAATCTGGAAGCCACATGTTCTTCCCTCTGCCAGAGGAAAGAATTGGATAAAAGATGTCACACTTGAAAAATCCGAAGTCTAGAAATACACACACCACATGAGGCATCTTTCAAAAAAGAACATGGCTTAGAACATGGCTTCCGGCATCAGCTGTGTTTTGAACCCACTGATTAGGAAACAAACATCTGTGCGAATGAGAGAAAAACAGATGACCTGTCCTAGGCTATGATGACCTGAAACCCGTTTCAGGCGATCAAGCAGAAAAATGATGTCTTTAAAAGTCTTGCAATGTAATGCATAAGAGCAATTGCTAATATCTTTCAGATATTTTGGAATACACTTTCCAGAATTCTCTGCCAGTGACTAGGCTGACTACTATTGATGAGAGTCAAAGTTCAATGTACTGTGATGGCACCTGGCTGCAGAACCACAACTTCCAGTATCCTTTACCATTTAGCCCTGAGTGGAATTGATTGGTGCTGTAGTTCAGCAATCTCTAGGCCAGGGATGGGTTCTACCTACCTTTACTACCGGTTTGCAACGGGATTATGCGTGCGTGCTTGCTTCGCTTGCATGTGCGCCTTGCTTCTGCGCATGCATAGAAGCTTCTGCGCATGCACAGATTGCTTCTCATGACATCAGGGTCAGTGGGTGGAGCCTCCTGCCAGTTTTACTACCGGTTCTATAGAACCGGTCCGAACCAGGGGCAACCCATCACTGCTCTAGGCCAGGGGTGGGCAAATGTGGCCCTTTTACAACCTGTGGACTTCAACTCCCAGAATTCCTGAGACAGCCAAGCTGTCTCAGGAATTCTGGGAGTTGAAGTCCACAGGTTATAAAAGGGCCACACTTGCCCACCCCTGCTCTAGGCCATATAGTCTATCCCAAATGATAGGGTAGCTGGGGGGAGGGGGGGTTGAGTCACCAAATGGTGTCCATTTTGATTTTCCCCAAACTTGTAACTTCATGGAAGAGAAAGAATGATTCATTGGACTGAAAGAGTATTAGTCTACCATTTACCTGGCAAACAAACAAAAGATTATATGTCTGGAGGGACTTCTTCAGTTCCTGCTGTAGATTAGGCATCACTTTAGCAATTAAATATGCCTTATATGCCCCAAATTGGAAGTAAAGTCTGCTCTCAGAAAAATATATCACAGAGAAGGGATGTGAAGTAAAATTGACATTTATGTGTTGATGGCCAGATTAAATTATTTACAGGCCTTGGGTCATTCATTTAGATCAACCTCTAAGAAAGATCTATAGATAAATATTTGCATTTGAGAGACTGTATTGGCTCTGTAATTTATAATTTAAAAATTGGTGTGTGTCTAAAACTTTTTAATAGACTCTTGGGAGCTTCATTGACCTTGGGTAGTGCGCTCACTGTAACCAATGGATAATCCAGCCCTCCAGTGGATGCTGCTGGTGACCTCAGCACTAAAAGGATTTCATTATTCACAACGGTGGCGCAATTCTGGTTAAAGCTCTGGAAGAGTAGGAAAATGTCTTGGGCCAAGTCCTTCATCACTTGCCTGCAATGCAGCTTCCTTCCTGCTTGGTCTAAATGAGTTTCCCATGGCAGATCAAGGGAAAATATGCCGTTCTGACAAGCAAAATAGATAAGCAGATGTGTAACAATATACCCAGGTGGACTGTGACTCTTTGGAGAGGGAGCACAGAAAGTTCTGCAGCTTCTCTACTGCTTTAAGTGAAACTTCAGATTCTGGAGAGAACCCTAGGACAAAGGTGAGAAGTTGAAGCTGTCTTAGGGCTGCCTCCAAGGTAAACCTATATATAGCTGCAATATCAGTTACCCTTGTGACTATACTGCTTATGGTAAAATGGGTCATCTGTATAATTACTAGCAATAACACTGGATCCAGATGAAGATCTATTCATTGTTATTCATGGAAGGTAAGTTAAAGTCCAAAATCATGCCTCTGAATAATCACAAGTTTTCCAGGTTTCTATCCAAAATTGAGCCTCTTTAACACCTTTGTCAAGATCTTTTTGGATCTTGAGTTTGTCTTCTGGAGTGTTGGCTATTCCTGCCAGCTTAGTGTCATCTGCAAATTTGATGAGTTCCCCTTCTATTCCCTCATCTAAGTCATTTATGAAGATAATATGATATAATATAATGAAGATTTGATATAAATCAAATAAAAGTAAAAGTAAAAGATTAAACCTACCTCTTATTAATTAGACAATAAATGAATGTACAACTGAACCCATCCATACAACCCTGTACAATGCTGTTACAAATCTAGGTCTAGATCAACTAGTAACTAACAACACTAGACTCAACAACTGCCTCAACCTCATCTTATGCAACAGCTTAAACTCAATTTATGGACTACAAATAAAAGAATTCTTTTCCAACAGTGACCACAACATGATTGACTTTTGTCTCAATATACGCCCTTACAAAAATCACCAAAATAATGGGATACCCAACTACAACTTCAAAAAAGCCAACTATGATCGCATAGACACCAACCTCTCATCTCTTGATTGGCAAATTCTATTCTCTGGCTGTAACACTTCCGAAGACCATTATAACATTTTCTTGCTCAAAATCAATAGAGTTATTAAACTATATGTACCACTAATCACCACCAAAACCAGGAAAAACAAATTATCCATATCAATAAGAAAACTCCAATCCCAAAAAAAATCCCTCTGGTGAAAAACCAAAACTGGCTATGTAGCTAACTTTAAAAGCCGCTATAAAAATATATGCCACCAAATAAAGACTGAAAGTACCAATTACCACACCAAACCAGAAGAGAACCTCCTGCGCACGAAATCCAACCGCGTCTTCTATAATTTTGTAAACAACAAACTTAAAGACTCAAGATCCATCCCACCCCTAAAAGGACCTATTGGTAAAGAATGCAATGATGAAGCAGTTAAAGCAAACCTCTTCAACACATTCTTCGGCTCAGTCTTTGTAAACAGCAATGGCTCATGCCCAACATTCCCTAGTCGTACCACAAATAACTACAATGATCTAACACAAATAGATTTAACAGAAGATAACATTGAAAAGGCACTACACAGACTAAAACCATCTCTGTCTTTCGGACCTGATGGACTATGTGCATACATCTTAAAAAAGCTTTCCACTGCTATAGCAGAACCCCTAAGCATAATCTTTGAAAAATCCTTCAGGACCAGCTCCCTACCCAAACTATGGTCACTAGCCACAGTCATCCCTATCTTCAAAAAGGGAGACCCCAGCCTAGTTGAAAATTACAGACCAATCTCTTTATGTTCCGTCACCTGCAAAGTCATGGAATCAATCATTAACCATTCCATTACCCTCCACCTAGAAACAAACAACCTACTCTTTAATAAACAATTTGGTTTCAGAAAAAATTATCCTGTAATCTACAACTTCTACACTGCAAGAACATATGGACTACAAATCTCGATCAGGGCAAAGCAATAAATGCAATTTACATAGACTTCTGTAAAGCCTTTGATTCAGTGGTACATGACAAACTACTTCTAAAACTAAAATCCTATGGCATCTGCAGACCCCTACATAATTGGATAGCTGCATTCCTGTCAAACAGACAACAAGTGGTCAAAATAGAGAGTGCCCTATCAAATCCTGCACCTGTTAATAGCGGTGTTTCCCAAGACAGCATTCTAGGACCAACATTCTTCATACTATACATAAATGACCTTTGTGATCATATTATAAGCAACTGCATTCTCTTCGCCAATGATGTAAAAATATTTAACACCACGGACAATGCTGCTACCCTTCAAAAAGACCTTGACTTTGTGTTAGAAGGGTTAAACAATTGGCAACTCCAAATCTCAACCAACAAATGCTCTGTCTTACACATTGGCAAAAAGAACCAGAACACAAAATGCAAGCTGAGTGGACATGACCTTATAGAGGACCCTCACTCTGTCAAGGACCTTGGAGTACTCATATCTAATGATCTAGGTGCCAAAGCCCACTGTAACAACATCGCCAAAAAGGCATTAAGAGTTGTAAACCTAATCTTGCGCAGCTTCTTCTCTGGTAATATTACACGACTAACCAGAACATACAAAACATTTGCTAGACCAATTCTCGAATACAGCTCATCTGTCTGGAACCCGCACTGCATATTGGACATTAATACAACTGAACGTGTCCAGAAATATTTCACAAGAAGAGTCCTCCACTCCTTTGCTTGCAACAAAATACCTTATGCCACCAGACTTGAAATTCTGGGCTTAGAAAACTTAGAACTACACCATCTTTGGTATGACCTAAGCGCAGCTCATAAAATTATCTGTTTCAGTTTCAACCACAACAATACACGAGCACACAATAGATGCAAACTTAAAGCGAACCGCTCCAAACTCAATTGCAGAAAATATGACTTCAGCAACAGAGTGGTCAATGCCTGGAATGCACTACCTGGCTCTGTGGTTTCATCCCAAAACCCCCCAACGTTTAACCTAAGACTGTCTACTCACCCCATTCCTAAGAGGTCTGTAAGGGGCATAAGAGCACCAGCGTGCCTACCATCCCTGTTCTAATGTTTCCTCTATTTATATCTATTTTATGTATCCAATCCATGTTTATACTTATGTTTTATGTTTATATTGAAGAGTACTGGGCCTAAGCCTTGTGGTAACCCCATTACTTACTTCTCTCCATGTGGATGTAGTACCGTTAAGGACTACCCTTAAGTATTGCTTGTCAGCCAGCTCCAAATCCATCTGGTGGTGATGTTGTCTATTCCATATTTTTCTAGCTTACCAATAAATACCGGTAGGTTGTGGTCTACTTTGTCAAATGCCTTACTGAAATCTAAGTATACTATGTCCACAGCATTTCACTGGTCTACTAATTTAGTGACTTTATTAAAGAATGAAATAAGGTTGGTTTGGCATGATCTGTTTTTAACAAACCTGTGCTGGCTATTAGTTATAACTTTATTTGCTTCCAGTTGTTTGCAGATCTGGTTTTTTGATTCTTTTCCAGAATCTTCCCAGGTATTGATGTTAGACTGATTGGTCTGCAGTTTCCTGGGTCTGTTTTCCCCCCACCCCTTTCTTGAAGATGGGAACTACATCAGCCCTTATCCAATCCTCAAGTACTTCCCTGGTGCTCCAGGATTTTTGAAAGATATGATACAATGGTTCTGAGAAACATCTGCCAGCTCCTTCAGAACTCTGGGATGTGATTTGTCAGGTCCTGGTGATTTATATTTATCAAGGTCAGATAGGTGTTCTCTTACTATTTTCTTTATACATTATTATTGTTAATAATATACATTATTATTATTGTTCAGGGAGTGTAAAGTTGATTATCGTTATCTGCTAATTGGGGATCTAGTTCTAGATCTATGCTTTTTGAACTGTGTTCGGTTTACAATTTTGACTCTCATAAACAAGAACAGTCATTCAACTATATAAACTGGACATATTTGTTTAAATAGGATGAACTTCCCTGTTGAGAAATTTGGCAGAATGTTGGGTTCTCAACAATAATACAAGCAATTCAAAAGAATAATATAAAAATGAATAAACACAAAACTGATCATCAACTAAACCCTATTATTTTAACCGTTTATCCCATCTGTCAAGTCCTAACCAATGAGTTAAATTACCTCTCACAACTCTCTTTCATATTTTAGATTGTTCCTTTCCACAATCTAGTACTGAACTAATGTATCCAGTTTCTCCTGGACCCTTCAAAATTTCTTTAAAAACATTTCTTACTATATTTGCTAGTCTTCTACTTTTGGTGGTGGTGGTTGCTGTTGTTCTTCCCAACATTGAGAAAGTACAAATGGGCCCCAATTACCAGAATTCAGATTATTTTATGAGTTTTGCAGAGCACTGCTATGTATTGTGCTCAGAAATAATTTCCGCTGAGCCATTCAGTGGAAATTACACTTAGGTAAATAAGGATAATGGGAGAAGGGAATTGCCAAGTCATGGACCTGAAGCTTCAAGTAGATGCTTCCCAGGCCATTAGAGCTGAAAGGGCCTTTTTCTGGAACCAATAAACTGACCAGAGTTGGGGAGGGGAAACTGGGAAGGAATAAAGTGTTCCCACTCTACACATTGGCGTTCCCCCTGAATCATTTCCCCATATTACATTATACAGAAAAAGGCATAATCCAAGTTTATGATTACTTGGGTGTGAGTTGGAGGACGCATTAGTATCTCTCCTTTTCCTGTCCACTGCATGTTGAGTGTGTGTGTATGTATGTGTGTGTGTGGTCTGTTGCTATTAATCCAGCCAAAATTTTAGCTTGATACAAGAAATTCAGGTTACATCCTCTCCAACAGAAACAGTCATTTCTGTTAAACCAATTTTTGGAGGAGATGCTGGAAAAGGAGATGGGATAGTCTGATTTCAGAATATAAATAAAACAGAGAAGATAGAAGAAACCTGAGGGTGTAGGAAGAGCCATCCAGCTTTGATCTGCATATTAAAAAAGCTGTTCCTTGCAAACTCAATAACTTGGAAAGACAGAGGAAGATATGCTAGAATTGAACCCAAATATAAGTTGATTTCTCTAACGCAATTTAACTTCTCATCTTTCATCTCACACATCTGCATTTGAATTCATCCAGGTTTTGCATCAAACTCTTGAACAGCTGCTGAAGTAGTTATGCAAGGAAAGCAGGAACAGTTTGGAAAAAAGCAAATATTTTATCATACCTATAGTAAAGGAAGCAAAGGATCCAAGAGTGGTTTCATGAAAAAAGTCCACATTTGTTTACATTTAATAAACTCATTCTTTATGGCCACGTGACCTCTATTGCTATGTGAATAGGATGGAAGAAAGGAAATCTGTTTTAAGCAAAGTAACCACCATCCCATTTTTGTGCATGATTGCATGCTGGAAATTGAAATTTATTTATGCGTTAGAATAATTTATAATAAATTCCCAGCTGTCTTTCCATAAGGCAATAAATAAAAACTAAAACAAACAGCTTTTTTTAAAAAAAAAAAAACCATCCATCCATCTAGAATAAAGTTAGAATAAAACAGCAGACTAATTATCCAGCCAATCTGAAAGCCAAACAAAAAAAATAAGTTTGACAATCCAAAGAGCCTGACAGATTTTTGTTAAAAAGAAAGAGCTGTAACTGATTATTTTTTAAGTAGGCATGGAACCTTCTTCTTCCCGCTCCTGGCATTCTGAAAGTGAAATGGGACAACTCACCATAGCCAACTCACTGTGAGGCAACTGTTGTGATGAGTTGGCTGTGGCGAGTTGGCCATGGTGAATTGTCATAGACAATTCATAGACCCGTGATGGTGAACCTATGCCCTCTCTGCGGGCATCCGAGCCATCACCCCAGCTGGTTTTCGAGTCTATGTTGCACATGCGCGGGGGTCGCAGGCACAGTCATGTGATATTGCGCTTAACAATTGTGCATGATTTCTTAATAACTCCAGTGGAAGTTGAGGTAAGTCAGACACAGTCACGTGATATTTCCCTTAATGCCCATGTCACTTAGTGATGAAGTTGCCTATTCCAATTGTCATTATGTGAGGATTACTGTACTTATATTGCTATGTATTTTATGTACAAAAGCAGAAATGATTACTTTTAAAAAAGAAATATTAATTTAATATTTGAAACTTTACTAAATTTAATGATAAAATAGATAGATAGACAGACAGACAGACAGACAGACAGACAGATAGATAGATAGATAGAATATTTGGGGGAGATTCAGGTTGAATTTGAGGCTCTTGCGCTCAGTTGAGAGTTGGTGAAGTCAATCCCAATCAGCAGTACTATCCTTCACACCCCCAATATTAAAAAAGAAACCCCATTAGAGAAGTTAGCAAGAAATTCTCAAGTACTTCAAGATAAAGTAGAAAGAGAGAAGCTTCTTTTTGTTGGAATTTTTTTTTAAAAAGAGCACAATGTTCATTTAATACACATCTGAGAGCTTATGCACCAAAGACGAATTTCGTATGTCTAATCACACTTGGCCCAATAAAGTATTTATTCTGTTCTGTTCTGTTCTATGCCACGCCTCATCTCACCATGCCACTCTACTGTACTCTATTCTATGTCTGGGTAGCCAAATCTGAACTACATTGAACGGCAATAGTAGCATCCAATAAATACATCCAAAGTTCACCCAGTTTATTCTGCCAAAGCAGGAGCTGGAAAGGAGTGGAATTTATTTTTCCCACCCTCAACTCCACCTTATTATTAATATTTTTTTTTAATTCTGTTGGTTCCAACAGGAGGAGAAAAGCTTAGAGCATCCAGAGCCATGCCAGGAAATGAATGATGGATCCCGTGATTTAACATACTTCAGACTTTCTCTTTCCTTTCACTATTTCCAGAAGCCACTGGAAGCTGATTTCTGCTGGTGCAACTGGGCCTCCAAGACAAATGCTGATAATTCCACCACTGTTTTATTCTTCTTCTCTCCTTAGAATTAAGATTGAATGCCCTATAGGATTATTATGGAACCTTGCTTTGCTAAATGTTTTGTGCACTTGCATATATGGGAGTACCTTAAGGTTCTTTTGGTGTGATGTTTTTGTACTGTGGAAAAATCAGAATAGTATAGCAGACTCAGAAGGTACTATGGAGATCTTCTAGTCCAACCCTCTGCTCAAGCAGGAGAATCTATACCATTTCAGGCAAGTGGTTGTCCAATCTTTTCTTTAAAAACTCCAGTGTTGGAGCACCAGTGGTAGGTTGCTCCCAGTTCTGTCCAGTTCTATAGAACCGGTAGTAAAACCGGCGGGAGGCCCGCCCACCTGGCATGACATCATTATGGGTGATCTGCGCATGCGCAGAAATGTGCGTGCTCCCATTGCAAACCGGTAGTAAAAGTAAGTAGAACCCTGTGGAGCACCCACAACTTCTGAAGGCCACTGATTCCACTGATCAATTGTTCTGTCAGGAAATTTCTTCTTATTTCTAGGTTGCTTCTCTCTTTGATTAGTTTCCATCCATTTCTTCTTGTCCTGCCTTCGGGTGCCTTGGAGAATAGGTTGACCCCCCCTGGAAATGTATCTGCTGAAACAATCTTTGGGCATTCCTATTACATCCAAATACCTTCTTATGTGGAATCTCATCAGCGCACATCCTTTACAACAACACATTAATATGGGATGGGGAGAAATTATGAATTTCTTATGTGAAGGAGTTACAAATGATAGCCAACACTACAGGCAGAATTAATGTTGGAAATTCCCTCAGTAGAGGGGAGGACAGGATCTCAGGACATGGGGTAGGGTTCCAAAAGGTGACTATATTTTCTTGGTTGTTATCTTGAAAACATTTCACTTCTCATCCAAGAAGCTCTTCTGAAGTGAACTGAAGAAGCTTCTTGGATGAGAAGTGAAACGTTTTCAAGAAAAAAAAACCAAGAAAATCCAATTGCCTCTTTGAAAAGCATCTTTTGGACAACCATAACCTGGATAATTGAGAATCTTCATAGACCTCTACACCTAGAAATGCAAACTCATTTTTATGCATATGGTCTTTAATTCAAGTAAAGTTTGCATTCCGAACCATCTTTCCAAACTGGATCCAAGACAAAAAAAAAAACCCAACTTCAATTAAATTGAAAATTAAAATTAAATTCATTAAATATAGTTAATATCATTTCCCAAGGAATGGGACAACCAGTACGATATAGTGGTTAAGATGTTGGAGTAGAAGTAGGATGGACCAGTATCTCTTCCACTTTCAACCACATAAGCACAATGAATGACTTTGGGCACATCATTCTTTCTCAGTCCAACCTACTGTACTTGATAGGATTCTTGTAGGGAAAAATGGGAAGAGGAATTACTAAGTAATATACACCAGCAATCCCCAATCTTTTGGGCATCAGGGACCAGTTTTGTGGCAGATGATTTTTCTGTGGACCGGGGGTAGGGCGTGGGAATAGTTTAGGTTTTGCTCGCCCTCCACTTACCTCTAGCTGTGTAGTCTGGTTCCTAACTGGTCACGGACTGGGAGTTGAAGTCACAAGTCTTAAAGTTGCCAAGGTTGGAGACCCCTGGTATAGACTGTGTTAAGCTTCTGAATAGAAGATGGAATATACATGCACTAATTAAATAAAAACTCCCTTTGGGCTTAATAGTTATCTTCTTCTGTGCTACTTAATATTATAATTTTGTTGGAATCTGTGGACATTCCTGGGAGTTTAAGGTGGACTATGTGTGGCCTAAAGATCCAGGATGCAAAATATCAGGACTCGGTATCATAGAAACTACCATATAATCACCACAGTACAATTTGTCTACTTGAATTGACTGTTTCAGGTGGCAGAGGTTTTCCACTTTTCCATCACGGCAGCAGCTCTCATGAATCTGACCCAAAGAGCTTTTCTGAGGTCTGACTGTTCAAACAAGTAGAGCTGATGAGCAAGCAGACAAGTGAGATAATGGATAAAAGGATGAGACAGATGAGGTGCTGGCAGAAAACATGGTCAAATGTTTTTGAAACCTGGAGAGGGAGCCTTATCTGTCAAAGAAAGCCTCCTTTCTTTTCTTTTCTTTTTTCTTTCTTTCTTAAAGGCAGAACTTGACACTTTATACTCAGAAAACTTTTATCTTCCCATTTAGAAGAGAGGGACCATAAACAACAGTAGAGTTTCTCTGACATGCTGCCAAATGCTACATTTGAGGCTCATCCAGGTGGCACTAATTTAAGGGGTCAGACAAACTCAGTACCACACAAACATATGACTGCAGTTTAGATGTCTGGCAAGTTGTTGGCCCATCAAGTTATTCAGGATCCTGCATGGTTAATGTCAATCTGTCATGGGGCAGGACCAACAGCAAGTAGAGAAGCCCCAGGCCAACCTTCTGCTCTTCCAGAATTTAAGTTCCTGTTTCACTGTAAATAACAAGCAAAGAGACAAACTCTTTAAGGAAAATACAAGGAGGAATGCTACATCTAATCAATGAGAAGTCTTAGGAGCAATGGTGGGTTGCCCCCGGTTCGCACCAGTTCTATAGAACCGGTAGTAAAACCAGCAGGAGGCTCCGCCCCCTGACCCCAACATCATCAGAATGCTTCTGCGCATGCAGCCCCATTGCAAACCAGTAGTAAAGGTAAATAGAACCCACCCCTGCTTAGGAGGCAAAAGAAGCCACAGCTATTTGACTCCATGCTCAGATTTCTCCAGGAACAATTAAACAGAATTTCAGCATGGATCCTGCTAAGAGGTGAATCTCAATTCCTTACACCTGTAGATTCATGGTGAGTTGAAAGTCCAGCTAGAATTTAAAGTTCCCCTGGAAAAAAAAATATGTAAAGACCATTGAGCAAAGCTTGCACTTAGCTTTTAAAATGTGCAAAATGGCTCTCTTCCGTTTTTCCCAATCCAGACTTTTAGGAAGTTCAGCATCTGAGTAGCTCTTGAGTCTTTACAGAGTAGAGACTTCTTCATGATCCACATGTCCATGCAGACCTTTTTTGTCAAGGTCTCTTCAGAAGCTGACGTTCAGCAATCTATCACCTTCCTTATACGTTTCCATCAAACGTTTCCATCAACTAGCCAGCCCAAACTTTGGCAGTGTTGCTTGGAATGTTTCCCACAATAAGTATGTCAAGCACAGGCTCTGTTTTCTACATTAAGGAGTACCAGCTTAATATTTCAAAGTTAATAGGAGGTAAATGCAAGGTCCTAAACAAATGTGTTGGAAATGTAGAAGTAGGGATGGTCAAGCCAATGAAAGCAAGAAAAATCTCTACATTTGAGAAGGCTTCCCATTTTTTCGTGCATTTTTCATAGTTTTCAATTAACCTTTCCAAATCCACAAATTATTAGTTACAGAGATCAAAGATTACAAGGTAGCACGTTCTTCAAAAGTGCTAGTAGCTTTTCAATATCTCATGTAAAATGTGGATTCTTTGCCGATACTTATTTTAAAAAAACTATTAGATTTTTTAAAACTGGCACCTTTTTCTAGAAGGGTGCAAAATATTCCATCATGGAAATGTGATTCCAATCTTGAAACAGGCGTTCCGAATGTTCTGTATGTGGACCAACCCTAAAATTGATTGTTGATCTAGTTCCAGAACATTTGAAATGGGTCCATTTCAGGATCAAAATGTTCCTTCTTCTTCTATTGCCTCCAAAATTCTGAGGGCAAAAAAGTGTTAACCAAAGCAATGCCTTTACAAAAAAAATCTAATCCTCCTCGCAAATAGATTGCTAGGGGCAACCAGACTTTTACAAAATATGGTGAAGAATCAGAAATTCAAGTATTATAAGGAAATGGAGGAAAACATGCCAATAAATAAATATCAATGTATTTATTAGCAAGATTTTTTTTATACCTCGCAGGATTCTGGGCAGCAGATAAAACATAAGAACAACCCTTCCAAGACACCTATTTCCACCCATTTAGTTAATATAAACAAGAAGCTTCTTAATATTTTCAGCTGGGCCTTGAGATCAAAGACCTGCTTTAATGAATAGTGTTGACTGCTTTCCTAAATGCCAAGAGCGAGGGTGCAAACTGTATCTCTGGAACCGCATATTGCGTAGTGTTGAAGCAATCATTGAGAAGACTTGCCTTTCCAGCCCACATACTTCTTGCTTTCCATGATGGAGAAGCTTTGAGCAGTTCCATTCAAGCTCAAAGCTTTTCCATCATGGGAAGAGATAAAAATTGATTTTGGACAAGTCAGTCCCTTAACATGACAGCATGCCGTGTATAAATAATAAGCAGTACCATGAATTAAGCTTAAAAGCCCACTGGAACCAGTGTAGAAACTACAAATAGATGACATTCTGCAATAACAGGTTCAACCATCAAACAGCTTCACCTCTGCATTCTGCATTAGTGGTAGCTTCTGAACTGTCTTCAAGAGCAGCCCCAGGTACAGCAAGTTGCAGTAATCCAGACATGTAGAGATAAAGGTAAGTCATTTGCAGCCAAGGTCCCCTGGTCTGTAAAGGAACATAATTCTGCATTGCCTCCACCTTTTCTTTTAGCAACAGGCACGAGGGCAGGAGGACTTCTTTTAGTGACGTGTAATTGTGTCTAGAACTAATGCTGAAGCTGAGGTCCTAGAAATGGACTTTCCAGCAACTCTGTCCTGCTCAGATTTATTCTGAACTTGTTTTTGCCATCTGCTTTTTAACAGTCTCTCATCATTAGCTCAAGCAACTCTAACATGACATGGGATAGTGAGACAATTGATCATTGTTGCCATACTGATGATACTTTATTCTGAATTGACAGATGACCTTTCGCAGAATAGATATTATATAGTATCAGGAAGAGAACTCAATTACCCTTCCTTTATATGGAGGTCTATGGAGCTAAGGAGGTC